ATTGTTTTCTTAATCTTTTCAATGATTATTCATTGCCACGGTATAAAAATAAAACTGATTTTTGTGTTTTGGTTTTGTATCCTGCAATTTTATTTAATTTGTTTATTCTAACAGGTTTTTTGTGTGAACTCTTCAGGATTTTGTACATAGAAGCTTATGTATGGCATGTTTCTGCAAACAGATACTTTTATCTCTTTCCAAATTGGTTGCTCCGTTGCACGTTCTTCCTTCTTTCCTTTCTTCCCTTTTTTCCCCTTGCTCTGGTTAGAATTTCTAGAACTGTATTGAAAGAAGTGGGATAGTACACATTCTTGCATCAGTCTTTCACTATTGAGTATGATTTTAATTGTGACTTGTTCACATATGGCCTTTGTCATGTTAAATTCCCTTCTGTTCTTAGGGGTTTTTTTTAACATAAAAAAAGAATTGGGTTTTGTCAAATGCTTTTTTGTATGTCAGTTGAGATGATGATGAATAGAATGGTTTCCCCCCACCATTCTATTAGTGTGGTGTATTACATTGATTGATTTGTATGTATTGAACTTATCCTTGCATCCTGAACATAAGTCCCACTTGGTTGTGGTGTATAACCTTTTTAATATGCTGTTGAATTTAGTTTGCAAGTTTTTTTTGTTGGTTTTTTTTTTTTTTTTAGTTTGGCATTTCTATTCATAAGGGATATTGGCCTGTAGTGTTCTTGTAGTGTCTTTGTTTAGCTTTGGTATCAGAATCTGCTCATCTCTAAATGACTTAGGAAGTATTTCCTCAGCTCTAGAGATTTTTTTCAAAGACTTGAAGAATGATTGGTGTTATTAACTTCCTTTGCTATTTGGTAGAGTTCATCAGTGAAGTAATTTAGTCCTGGACTTTTCTTCATTTGGAAGATTTAAATTACTGAGTCAGTCTTGTATAGATCTATTTAAATTTTCTATTTCTTGTTGAGTCAGTTTTGATTTGTTTTCATCCTTCTGCTGGCTTCAGGGTTAGTTTGTTTTTCTACTTCCTATTTGTTTACAGTTAGGTTATTGATTTCAGGTTGTTCTTATTTAGGTAGGTGTCTATAGCTCTAAGTTTCTCTCTTTATATGCTTTTGCTGCATTGCATATGTTTCTTATGTTATGTTTCCTTTTCATTTATCTCAAGGTATTTTCTAATTTACCTCATGATTTCTTCTTGACCCACTGGTTGTTTGAGTGTGTTGTTTAATTTCCACATATCTGAATTTTCCAGTTTTACTTATGTTATTGATTACTGGCTTCATCAGCTGTGGTGAGAAAAAGATACTTTTGCCGTGGCTGGGTAGCTCACTTGGTTAGAGCATCATTCCCATACACCAAGGTTGCAGGTGTGATTCCCAGTAAGGGCATATACAAGAGTCAACCAATGAATACATAAGTAAAGGGAACAACAATTTGGTGTTTCTCTTTCTCTGTCTCTCCCCCTTCCTTTCTCTCTCTCCTCTTCCCTTGTTCCCTTCTTTTCTCTACGTAAAATCAATAAATAAAAAGTTTTTAAAAAGTAATGTATCATTTTAGAGAAAAATTTTTTATGATTTTATTCTTTTTAAATTTATGAAGACTTGGTGGTCTATCTGGAGAATGGTCCTTGTACACTTGAGAAGAACGTGTATTCTACTGTTGTTGGAGTGTTCTGTACATCTTTTAGGTCTTATTGGTTTATAGAGTTGTTCATGTCTTCTATTTCCTTATTAGTTTTCGGTCTGATTTTTTACTCACTGAAATTGAAGTATTGGAGTTTCCAACTATTAACTGTAGAACTGTCTGTTTCTCCCTTCAGTTCTGTGAGTTTTTGCTTCATGTATTGTGGGGTTGTTTTTAGCTGTCTATATGTTTATAATTACTGTATCTTCATGCCGGAGTGCACCTTTTATCAATATATGTCTTTCTTTGTCTCTTGTAACTTCTTTTTAATTATCTGTTTTTTCTGACAATAATATAATCACCCCAGCTTTTTTTGGTTACTATTTGCATAGAATATCTTGTTCCATCCTTTTACTTTCAACCTCTTTATGTCTTCATATCCAAAGTGAATCTCTCTGCCTTGGCCGGTGAGGCTCAGTGGTTGGAGCGTTGTCCTGTTCAGAAGGGTTGCAAGTTCAACCCTGGCCCTGGCATGGGCATGTGCCATCCCTGTCTGGGTGCATATGAAGGCAACCAGTTGACGCTTCTGTTGCATCGATGTTTCTCTTCCTTCCTTCTTCCCTTCCTCTCTCTAAAAAAAAGCAAATGAAAATGTTCTCAGGTGAGGATTAAATAATAATAATAAAATAAATATTTAAATAAAGTTATTCTCTCCTAGGGAAGATATATATGGATCAAGTTTTATATCCAGTCTACTAGTCTTTTGCATTTTTAATAGGAAAGCTTAGTCCATTTACATATAAAATAATAACTTCTGTTTAGCTGTTTATATGTCAAAAATATCTTTGTTCCTCAATTCCTCCATTCCTGCCTTTGTATTTAGTTGAATATTTGTGGCATATTATTTTGCTTTCCTTCTTTCTTTTGTATATGTCCTCCTTACTTTCTTAGTGTTACCCTGGGGATTACAATTAACATCTTAAAATTATAACCTAGTTTTGATAATACCAACTTTTAGTAATATCCAGAAGGTTTGGTACAATGCTTCTATACATCTCCATCCCTCCTAGTTATATTGTTATTGTCATAGATTACATCTTCATATATTATGTCTCCGTTAACAAAAATTTATAAATATTGTTTGGTGCATTTGCTTTTGGAAAAACATTTATAAACCAAAAGTTAGTAATGCTGGCTTTCATATTTACCTATGTAGTAACCATTACCAGTGTTTATTTTTCCTTATGGATTCAAGTTACTCCATAAGCCCTGGTTAAAGCAGGGGTCCTTAACCAGGCCACACAGGAGGTAAGCAGCAGGTGAGCAAGTGAAGCTTCCCCTCTATTTACAGCTGCTCCCCAATGCTTGCATTAACACCTGGGCTCTGCCTCTTGTCAGATCAGCAGCAGCAGTAGATTCTTATAGGAGTGTGAACCCTAATGTGAACTGTGAACTGTGAACTGCAGTAGGTTGTGTGCTCCTTATGAGAATCTAATGCCTGATGATCTGAGGTGGAGCTGAGGTCGTGATGCTAGCACTGGGGAGTGGCTGGAAATATAGATGATCATTAGCAGAGGGGTTTGACTGCACAGAGACCATGATAAATCAGTTGCTTGTAGACCCATATCAAAACCCTATCAGTGAGTAGCCAGTGACAATTAAGCTGCATATGGTGGTAGGGAATAACCGCCCTCCCCCCCCCCCCCGCCCCGCATTCTGATCGTCTGTCCATGGAAAAATTTCTTCCATGACACCCATCCTTGGTGCCAAAAAGTTTGGGGACCACTGCTCTAAGTACTTTCATATCAACTGAAAAACTCTTTAGCATTACTAATAGGGCAAATCTCCTGGTAGTGAACTCCTTCATTTTTTGTTTATCTGAAAAGTGTCTTAATTAAGTTCTCTCTTATTCCTGAAGGATAGTTTCTTTAGGTATAGAATTCTTGATTGTCAGTTTCCCCCCATGGTTTTTTATACATAGTCCCATAGCATTCTTGTCTGCATGGTTTCAGGTGAGAAATTGGATGTTCATCTCATTAAGGAAATCAGCTCTCTGATTGTGGTTTCCTTAGGTCATTGAGTACATTTGAGACAGTTGATTTAACATCACTGACTAGTAATTTCAACATCTGGGCTCCTTCAAGGGTGGTTTCTGTCAAATTCTTTTTTTCCTGTAAATTGGCCATTATTTTCCTGTTTATTTGGGTATTTTGTAAGTTTTTGTTGAGAACTGGACATTTCAAGTATGTTTCTTACTTGTTATGGGCTGTAGCTGTCTCTTTGTGACTTTTCTAAACTATTTTTCCAATGTGCATACTTGCATGTTGTGTATTATCACTGACATTTCTGGTTCATTATCTCTGTGGTCAGCCAGTGACCTAACATTTCCTTAAATGTCTGCTTCCACAAATGAGGAGAGGTCCTGTCCCTTTAAATTTTCCAATAGCTGCTGTTAGGGAAAGCCACAGCTGGCAAGAGAGCCAAAACCAAGGCAAGTGTCTGTACCAGGCCTTCTGCCCTGGCATCAGCCATCATTCCTAGAAACATGGCCTCCTATCTCCACATCTGCAGCTGGGCTGAAGGATGGGAAAATTGTAGGTGGTTTGCATCCTCTGCTTATTTTTGACAAATCAGCAGCTTTTCTCTTCTTCAAGCACTCTCCCCTAGTTGACATGCGTATCTGATCAGATTCCAGAGTACTAAAATAGTTCATTCCAGTGTTTCTTCCCATCCCTATTGATTGCTTTGGTGGAGGGACTGATACTTAGGGAGTCCTACCTCACCATTTTGTATGACATCACTCTTACTTATTTTTAAAACGTCTTTTGCTCCTTTACTTAACCAGTCCACCCTGGCGGCCCCCATTTTACAGTTTTTAAGTACATAAAAAAGAGAATGTTGTGCATTAAAGACGTGACAGTGCTGTAAAAAGCAAGAGCTTTAAAGCTAAACATCTGTATTTACACCCTAACTTGCTGGTTTACCTTGGGTAAATTTGAACCTTTGAGCTTCATCTTCATCTGTCAAATGGCTCTTATAATAATATGAGAGGAGGTATGTAAAAGATTACTAAGTATAGATGCCAATGTTATATCAATACTAGATATTCCTGGTATTCCTGTTTTATCATCAGTTGGTAAGCACTTAGTGCCAGACATCTTGCTAGATACATTATGTACACATTCCCAGCAACAGTTCTATAAAATGAGTATTTTCTATGTTTTACAGAAGATGAAACTGAAGTTTAAAACGTTTTAACAATTTTCTTGAAGTAGAATTAGAGTCAAAATCAGGCTCTTTGGCTCAGTTATTGCTTATAGCCATTGTTCCACATTGCCTCTTATCTGAGTCACAGGGTCTGATTTTAAGATCTTTTATTAATTCGTTTTCCTCCCTCAGGAGTCACATGCCATGGGGAAAAAGCCTGAAAATCCAGCAGACATGATTGAAGAAGGGGAGCTTATCCTATCAGTGAATATCTTGTACCCTGTTATATTTCATAAGGTCAGTAGTAAAACCTTTTGGATTTCACAGATAATGTGAGTGACTTTTGTCAAATGGTTTAATTATTTGAAGAGCCATATATCTGGGGTTCAAAATAAATGCAAGCAAATGCTATTTTATCCGGCATCCTGCTTATATTCATGAGTTCTTTGTTTTAATGAAGAATATTATAAATAGGTCAATTTCAAATAATCTGTTGATTAATAGGATTGCAGTTTTAGTATTGGAATGCATACCCTGGTTTCTGCACTAGAAGCCACTGTAAGTATATGGAAATCTATGATCCTAATTATTATGATGTCTTGAGGGTTCCCCCAACCCCAGAAGGAGTGGGGTGACTTTTATTCACCAATTTAGAATCCTTGGGAAGTTGTTTTACTAATGACAGTTCTTCTTAGATGAAAATGCAGAAAGTTAACAAGTGAGGGGTATCTAGGAATTCCTTAGGAGGTTCTAATAGGAAGAACTATCCCATACAGAGTGTATGTATTCTTGATTCCTCAAATAGATGCCATAAACTTTGATAAGGCTTAATTGAAATATTACTGTACATATACTGCATTTGCAAATAAGTAGGCTTTTATGAAGCATTTGGTAAGTACTAATTACCTTGTTTGATGAAGATCTCAAATTACCCAACAAACAAAACCAAACCAATAAAATGGAACCTCTGCATTTATAACATTAGGGTAGTGAATAGATTGCTTGACTTTAGTGTGGTAACTTCTAAGAAACTTTAAAAAACAGTGTTTTCCAGGGTGATACCCTCAGAGAAACTGTACATACTCACTGGGTAAGTATGGAAAGGAGCAGAATGGTAGACCAGCTACCCATGACATTTTTAGAAGGGATCTCTTGCCCAGTAAAGTAGGAGGGCCTTGAACTTCCTGCATTTCATCATGGGTAAGCTTGAACTAACTGTTCCTACCTGGTACAACTAGCAGAGGCCCTCAGATTTACTGGTCTGTCTAAGAGGGGCAGCATCTCCTGTAGAACAATAAAAATATATTTGGATCAGCTAGAATGGAGATAGAATATGGGCAAGAGCCATCATAATCTCTTATTTTTCTGGTTCTTGTGCCAGCAGGCGTGTAAGTACTGTGACTTGGGTTTTCTCTCAGTTGTTCTTATTCTTCTGATCCTCCCCCAGTTTTCATGGTTTTAGGCGCACTCAAATCTTTGTTAATCTCCTCGGTAGCCTTATAGTCCACAGGCTTTTTGTGCTAATGTTGTTGTAGTAGCATCTTGATTATAAACTTTAGCTTAAACTAATGAAGTTCTATTGCTAAGTATCTTAGTTCATTCCAGCTTCTATAACAAAATGTCACCTACTGGGTAGCTTACAAACAACATGAACTTATTTTTGACATTTCTAGGGGCTGGAAGTCCAAGATCAGTGAGCCAGCATGGTCAGGTTGGGGCTCTCTTTTGGGTTGAAGACTCTTCATATGCTAGAAGGGCTAGGGAGCTCAGTGGGATCTCTTTTATAAGAGCACTATCCCATTTATGAGAACACCCTCATGACCCAATTACTTTCCAAAGGCCCCACCTCCTAACGCCATTACTTTGGGTGCTAGGATTCCAATATGCAAATTTTGGGCAGACACAAACATTTAGACCATCAGACCAAGTGTCTTAGTTATACCCATGGATTATAATTTACAGAAGTGACTGAGTGACAGCACTAGAGGCTAATGCCATTGAAAGAAGATTTTTATTAGTTACGCCTCCCCTCTGTGGCCATGCTATATAGGGCCACAGAGGGGAAGCACCAGTGTCAGGATGCAGAAAGGGAGGGAAGGGCTTAGGCCACATCCTTTATTAGTGTTTCAGTGAGAAAGGCAAGGCAGAGCAAGCAATTTGAGTTGGCTATTTTGAATAATTCTAGTGGGCTCTGGGGCAAAGGGGTTGTCCCTAGTTATCTGTACGTGGTCCTTGATTTAGGACAGGTGAAAGGTTTGGTATGTGAGAGTTAGATAAAAAAGATGGTTTCAAAGTTTTGGACCTGTATCACAAGGGAGATGTGAACAACTTTGGCCATTAGTTTGGACCTGTAATTAATGAATGCCAAATAGAGAAATACGGAATTTAAGAAAACATCGAACACCAAGTTAGGGAGGTAGTTTAAATCAAGAAAACTAGTAACTTAATTCATATCTAATCATGACAGGATAGTTTAATTGTTTGTCCGTAAGTGGACACTCACTTATTTACTGTTTAATTTTTAGCACAAAGAACACAAACCATACCAGACAATGCTGGTATTGGGCAGTCAGAAGCTCACGGAACTAAGGGATTCAATTTGCTGTGTCAGTGACCTCCAGATCGGTGGGGAATTCAGCAGCACTCCTGACCAAGCCCCTGAGCACATCAGCAAAGTAAGGTTTGTTTTTTGTTTTTTTTTTTTACCCCAATAAAGCAAAGGGAAGTAATAGTGATAAGCCAAGGAAATAGTGGTTACTCTAACAGGATCATAAATATTCCAGTAAGTGCTTTGACCTAAACCATTCTCTCAAAGCCTGTCTCTTCCCTGTTCTTTATCATCAAGATCTTTTCAAAGATTAGGCTGTACTTCGTTTTGATTTCTTCATATCCTATTCATTTTCAACCATTGTATAGTCTTTCTTCAGAGGTCATAGTAACCACCTAATTTTTAACTCACTGGTCTCTTTTGCACGTTGAAACAACTTGATTTCACTTAGCATTTGAATTTGCTGTTCAGGCTCTATATGAGTTTGTTTTAACAGCCCCTAGCAAAAGGTTGGAGTCTACCTGAGAATCTCACTGCCCATAGAAGGACTTGTCAGTTCAAGGACCAATACCAAACCAGGACATAGCATCTGCTGCTAGTGTTTGCCAGGGCGATGCTCTCAGAGAAACTGTACATACTCACTGGGTAAGTATGGAAAGGAGCAGAATGGTAGACCAGCTACCCATGACATTTTTAGAAGGGATCTCTTGCCCAGTAAAGTAGGAGGGCCTTGAACTTCCTGCATTTCATCATGGGTAAGCTTGAACTAACTGTTCCTACCTGGTACAACTAGCAGAGGCCCTCAGATTTACTGGTCTGTCTAAGAGGGGCAGCATCTCCTGTAGAACAATAAAAATATATTTGGATCAGCTAGAATGGAGATAGAATATGGGCAAGAGCCATCATAATCCCTGTTTTTCTGGTTCTTGTGCCAGCAGGCGTGTAAGTACTGTGACTTGGGTTTTCTCTCAGTTGTTCTTATTCTCATTCTTCTCCTGATCCTCCCCCAGTTTTCATGGTTTTAGGTGTATCAAATCTTTGTTAATCTCTCTCTGTAGCCTCATTTTCTCCTGATTTCCAAACCATTATTTTAAGTCCCTCTGGACATTTCTACTTAGCCTCAGTGCTGCCTGGCATTTTTACTGCATTTCTGTGGTCTGTTCATACTGCCCCTTTTCAAAGCAACTGGTTTCTTCTGTCTGAAACTGCCAACATTCTTCTCTCATGGCTTAACTTTAGCTGTTTATTTCACTGAGAAAATAGTTATCAGAAAAGAATTTTCCATCATCTCTCGTCCACATTTGCCCATCTGCGCATGTACCCTCCCTTCCTACCTGTTAACAATGAATGGACCAAACTGGCTGCCACGTAAGGCCAGTCTGTGTGTCAGCTGGATTCCAGCCCTGATTGCATAACCAAGGACTTTGTTCGTATAAGTATCCCCTCTTGTCCCTGAATCTTCATTTTTTTTTTCATTCTGTCAGCTCTCCCATTACAAGAATGTGCTGTAGTATATCTCTCATCCTGACACCTCTTCTTGACAGCATATCTTTCTCTAGCTAATCATGTTCCTCACCATTCCACTAAAATCACTTTATTGATGCCACCATAGACTTAGTTCTCATCTTATTTGACTTGTCAGCATGTGACACAATGGAACATTCTTTTCTTTTTGAAACACTTTCTTTACTTGGCTTTTAGGATATTAAGCCCCCTTGATTTTCTTCCTCTCTGACTGACTGTTAAATCCTTTGCTGGATGCTTCTCATTTTTCTGACTTATAAATGCTATTAAGCTGTATGAATCAATTCTCAGACTTCACCTATGTGTATATGCCCCAGGTGGTCTTGTCCAGATTCACAGCTATAAATACTGGGATTCCCAGATGCATATATCCAATCCCAACATATTCTCTGAACTCCAGACTTAAATATCCAACATCCACCTCCTTGACAGTTTTTATCAAATATCTGATAGCCATCTCAGACTTACTATGTTCAAGAGCAAACTGTAGCCCTGACCCATGTGGCTTAGCTGGTTGGACATTGCCCTGCAAAGTGAAAGGTTGCCTGTTCGATTCTGGGTCAGGGCACATGCCTGCTTTGCAGGTTCCATCCCCACATGGGGTGCGTACAAGAAGCAACGAATTGATGTTTCTCTTTCACATAGATGTTTTTCTCTCCCTAACTTTTTTCCCTCCCATCCCCCCTCTCTAAAAAAGAATAGAATCTTAAAAAAAGAAAAAAGGAAACTCTAGCTCTCTCTTCCTCAAATCTATACCTTCCCCATGTTCCCATCTCAGTGAATATGCCCCTTCTGTATCTGGTTACTTATGCTAAAAACCTTGGAGTCATCCTTGCCTCCTTTTCTTCTCACATTGAAGGCAGTAAGAACTTTGGCTCTACTTTTCAAAATACATCTAGGATCTGCCCATGCCGCACTGGCCCGTCACAGGTACCATCATCTCTCGCCGGGCCCGCTACAGTAGCCTACTGACAGGTCTTACTGCTGCCTCTCCACACTTCTGTTTATCCTTTGTGTCAGCCAGAATATACTTTTTAAAGTATCAGATCTGTAGAGGCTTCCTCTTTTTTTTTTTTCCAAGCCGGCATATCAGACAGAAACTGGCTTAGAGAAGTTAGATCAACATGGTCGATCTGTTGGGGTAGAGGCTTCCTCGTAAATCTAGGATAAAATACAAGTCCTGATTGTGGTCCTCATATGGTCCATTATCTGACCCTTTCTGCCTTCCAACTTCATATCCTAACCCCCTCTCATCAGCTGTTGCCTTCAGACACACTGCCATCCTTGCTGTTTCTCACATGTACTAAGCAAGCTTCTCCTATTCAGAGCCTCTGTATCTTGTTTCACCCTAGAATGTTCTTCACCCAGGTATTCAGGTGGCTCACTCCTTTGTTTCTTCCTGGTCTCATGTCACCTTGACAGAGAAGTCTTTCCCTACAGCATCCAGATTGGTATTCCCTTCCTCTGCCATGCTGTATTTTTCTCTTTTTTAATTTTTTTAATACAGTTTGCATTCAACACTTTTGTATTAGTTTCAGGTAAATAGCACAGCAGATAGACATTCACATAGGGTAAGGAGTATCCCTCTGATAATTCAAGTGCCCCTCTGGCACCACACATAGTTATTACCTATAGTCCCTGTGCTGTGCTTTACATCCCTGTGCCTATTGTTTAACTACCAATTGTACACTTAATCCCGTCACCTTATTTTACCCTGCCCCCCAACACCCATCCCCTCTGGTGTCCATCAGTGTGTTCTCTTTATCTGTAAGTGTGTTTCAATTTTGTTTATTTTGTTCTTTAGATTTGACATATAAGTGATGTCACATGGTACTTGTCTTTCGCTGTCTGGCTTATTTCACTTAGCTTAATACCCTCTAGATCTATTTATGCTGTCGCAAATAGTAAGATTTCATTCTTTTTATGGATAAGTAATATTCCACTGTATATATGTACAACTTTTTTATCCATTTGTCTATCGATGGGCACTTGAGTTGCTTCCATATCTTGGCTATTGTAAATAATGCTGCAATGACTATAGGGGTGTGTATATTCTTTTGTATGAGTCTTTTGGGCTTCTTCTGATATATACCCAGGTGTGGAATTTCTGGGTCATCAGGCGGTTCCAGTTTCAATTTTTTGAGGAACCTCTATAGTTTATTTTTCTTAATAGCATTCATCACTACCTGATATCATAGTATGTATTTGTCTATCTTCCATAACTTGAATATAAACTCTGAGGGTAGGAGTTTTGTTTTGTTCAGTGATGTACATATCTTTATTTCTTTGATGTGTGGCACAGAGGAAGTACCCAAATAGTTGTTGAATAAATGAATGAACCACAGAAACCTCAAACTCAATATTTAAACTCATTATTCTATCATCTCCTTTTTTTCTTCAGCTAGCACTCTCCCTTTCTATTCCTGTTTATTTTGCCATAATGGTTCCAAACTCTGTTTTTTCCATTGCTATATATTTTAGTAAGGGGCTTCCTAACGGGTTTTTCTACCTTTAGTCCTTCCTATACATCATGCCACTCAAGTTCCTTTCAAAAACAAAGCAAACACCAAGAATGGATCTTATGGTAAACTATGGACTTTGGGTGATTATGATGTGTGCAAGTTTATCCTTGATAACAAATATACCATTCTGGTGACTGATGTTACTAATGGGGGAGGCTGATGTGTGGGGGACGGGCATATATAGAAAATATCTGTACCTCCCTCTCAATTTTGTTGTAAATCTAAAACTGCTCTAAAAAAATCAAGTCTTTAAAGAGAAATTGGTCCGTCATCCTTCAGTCTAAAAATCTCAGTGGGTCTCCATTGCTTGCAGTTCAGATTCCTTAGGCTGACATCTAAGGCCTTTTATAATAATGAGTCCCACCTTAAGGTTTCATACTATTCACCCCCTATTTTTTCACCTTATGCTCCAGCCACAAATGAATGTGTTCATCTTCCTCAAGCTTACCACACCTTTTTGTGCCTCTACGTGTTTGAACATGGTGGGAAGCCCTTCCCTTTATCCATCTGGCGAGTTCACATTCATATTTCCAAACCCAGCTCAAAACTCACTTATATAAAATTTTTCCTGACCCTCCTCTCTTTGCCACTCTGGCACCATCTCATTTGTTCATTGCAGTGCTTATAATAAAATCCGGATACTATTTGGTATGTCTCTCTGCCCCCCGGGCTGGCTATGCTCTGGTCTTTTTGGTGACTGGCTTGGAAACCAGCCAGCATCAACACTTACACATAGATTTCACTTCAGAGTTTTTGAGGTATGTTGAAATGGTTCTAAGGTATTTGGGTTCTTCAGGTTTGCCATCTTAGTGCTCTTGGCGATAAATATTAGAATTAAAGAGAAACAAGTGGAATTTCAAGGCTGTTTGCAGACTGGGAAATAAGAGGTTTTTTTGTTTCTTTTTTTTTTTTAAAGAAGCAATCTGCAAAATTTCTCATCTACCAAAAAAAAAGCTGTAACTATAAAGCTTATAGATCAATTTAATAAGAAAAATCTGAATTCATCCTTCTCATTGCTAGTATGTCACACTGCTCAAAGTGGTTTGTGTCAGATCTGGTAATTGGTCTTAGTTCCAGGAACCTAGGGAGTGTTTTTAGCCTGGCGTGGTGGGTTTATTGTGTTTTGTTTATCAGTACTGATGCCTTCAGCAGCTTTCTAAGCAGGGGGCTATATAACCCGTTATCCTGGTTCAGTGTTTACACATCTGTTCTCACATTGTTTCTGCTTACTCCATCTGTTAAAGTAATATCTCTGATTAATGAGCATTTACCATATGCTAAATGTACAATATGCTGTCTTTGAAAAGAATTATCACTTTACAGGTAAGAAAAAGATAGGTCAGAGCACTCTTATGAGTTGCCCATGTTAAGTAGCAATAGTGGAAGCTGGATTCAGACCCTTGTCAACTTGCCTTCAAAGCCCCTTGTTCTTTCTTTGCTATGTTGTCATTATGCCTGGCTTGAGACTGCCTTTTCCCTACCCTTTTGTTTATTTGGTGCACAGGCTCTAAGTTTTACCTTGGAAAATTTTAAATATACGCAAAAAGAAAAGAATAATATAATGAGGAGCACTTATGTACCTGTTACCTCCCTTCAACAATTCTTAGCATTCTGCCAGAATATTTTACCTCTTTACCTCATGCCAGTTACCTGCCTAACAAAATTGAAAGAAGTCCTTAAATTATAATGCTTTTTTTGACAGTGGAATTGTATCATCAGACAAATTAGTGAAATGCAGTTCTTACAGCTGAGGAGATGAAAATCTTTATTCCAGCCAATAAATAAAACTTTTGAATAAAATCCTTCTTTGATTAATTTGGTATGTGAGAGGTCTAGGAAGCCTGGGCCAATATAAATAAGTCTCTTTCCTTAAAATTAAAAAAAAAAAATTATTTCTTTATTTTTAGAGAGAGGGGAAGGGAGAAGGGGAGAGAAAACATCCATGTGTGAGAAATAAAGCAGTTGGTTGCTTCTTGCATGCCCCCAAATGGGACCTGGTCCACAACCCAGGCATGTGCCCTGACTGGGAATTGAACCAGAGACCTTTCGGTTCACAGGCAGTCAATCCATTGAGCCAGACCAGCCAAGACTATTTCTAATTTTATTTAATTGTGTTTTTTCCATTACTGTTTATCCCCCTTATTTATACTCCCATCACCCCAGCAATCACGACACTGGTGTCCACGTCCATGAGACGTTTTTCCTTTTTGCTTGATCCCTCCACCCTCCCAAACCCACCCTCATAGTTGTCAGCCTGCTCTCTGTGAGTCTAAATCTCTTTTAAAAGCTTATGTCTAAAATGTAATGTTTTGCTAACATTTGTTTTTGGAGTAAGAGTAGTTCAAGAATGGAGTGCATTTTTAAAATATACATACAAAAATAGTGCCAGTGTTTTTAGCTTGTTTTTTAAAATGGTTCCTTATTTTTTATTTTAAAATAATAAAGATTTTATTTATTTATTTATTTTGAGAGAGAGGAGAAGAGAGGGAGAAAGAGGAGGGAAACAGTGTGAGAGAGAAACATTGGTTGGTTGGTTCTCACATGCGCCCTGACTGGGGACTGAACCTGCAACCCAGACACATACCCTGACCTGGAGCTGAACCAGTGGCCTTTGGCTGGGTGGAATGATGCCCATCCAACTGAGCCGTACCAGTCAGGGAGGTTCATCATGTTTTAATGTCTGATTCTATTGATCTTTTTTATATTACTCCAATTAGTCGTTTTGTTTTGTTTTGTTAGTAATCTCTTAAGGGTCTTTCTTAGAGGCACACTTAAGAAAATACAGACTTACTATAAATAAAGCCTTGGTATAGGAAAAATGGTAACATAAATTTAAGTTGTAAAAACTTCCTTACCCAAGCTTCTCCAGCACTTCCGTCCCATTACCACTTTCCTCGCAGCAAATCCTAGGAATGTTGCTATAGTTTCAGTATAGTCTGTTTCAATGTTAACAGAAGTATAATGGCTAACTGATGCTTAAAATTATATGTAACTAATGACTGTGTTCACATGATCATGTTAGTTATTGATAGTTACTTTGTTTATAAAATGGAAATAGTAACAATAGACTCAGATTAACAACAGAAGTAGCTTCTTACACTAGTTTTTCCATGTCGGTTGTTGATTCCCTGCTCTCACACCCCCTGGGAACTTGGTCAGCCAAACTAGCAGACAGAACAGGGAACTTCCTTGAGTATCCTTGGTTACTATTAAAATGAAAATTACTTGTATTGAGATGACTCACATCTTCTGTTCTTAATCATTTGTATACTGGAATGAGGAAAGTTTTTAATGGATGATGTAGGATTTCAATGGAAAACATTTTTGTTATTTTAGAGTTCTCCTTCTAATTAATAGTTGTCAAAGCATTAAGTTGCCTAAATAGCTTAAAATGAAGTTCTATAGGTAACATTTTGTAGTGAACAAAATTTTATATACACTGAACTTTGTTTTTGTTTCTAAAATAAACAAGTAGTTATTTTTTGAGAACTTTTATATTGGACCCTACCTGACCTCTTGGAGGGTTTAGAATTATATTAAGTGGCAGATTTTGTGTTTTAACAGCAGCTAGAAATGGCATTATAGTACATTATATCCTTTTATCTCTGCAGTCAGCTGGGACGAAGGTAATGGCTTTACTCATATTTTACAGAAATATGAGAAAAAGTGGGTCAGGGAGATTTAGCGAGCCGTCCAAGGAGAAACAGCAAAACCAGTCTTATAAAGGTGTCTGCCCTTGACACCAACGCCAGATGATCTATAAATGGGGGGATGAAGACAATTAAGAAAAAAACCCAGAAGCTTTAAAGAAGTAGCAGATAATTTAGGTTACTTAAAGGTAAAATTATTTTAATATCTGAAGCTTATATATCTTTTATAGTTCATAAAGTGCTTTTGATTCTCATCACAGTCCTGTAAGATAGCATGCCAGGTATTATTCTGATTTTACAGGTGAGAAACTAGATCCAAGGAGGAAGGGTAGGTTAAGGAAAAGAACATACGTCTTTTTTACCCTCTCGCAGGGGTCTAATTCTAAGCATATGGTGAAAGACAAGTCTAACAGTAGCTCTCAGAACTGGTTGCACATCTTGAAGAGCTTGGGACAGCACTGGTGCCTGACCTGCATCCTCAGAAAGTCTCTTTTAATGTGTCTGGGATGACACTTGGTCTTTGATGTATTTGTGATTCTGTTATGCAGTCAGGATTAAGACTCATCTCTCTGATGGAAAGTCCAGTAGACTGAAAGTTAAGAAACCTCAGGGTTCAGACCAGTTGTGCGACTGCTATGGTACTGTGGGCAAGATTGCTTGAATAAGACTAGAAATTCACATTCTGCCTGCCTAAGAGTTACTGGACATATAAAGAGGGAATTTTTACAAAAGCACATTGAAAATTTAAAGAAATGACAGATAAACATAACTCCATGATTATTGTTATTATCACAGGGGAGACACCAAAGATATGACTGTTGAGGTCTTATTTCTCATATCTGATATAACTGTCACAGCTATGTATGTGTATAATAAAATGATAATAAAGTTTATTTCATTTCTATTTGTGTTTCTTTCATGGGTCTCAGGAGGCTACAAATTTAAATCAAACCTAGTTATTAAAGTAACAACAGGATAAAATTTTACACCTTGACACCTGGTAACACAATATTTTTTACATAAGAGTTGCCATTAAATACTAAACAAATTAATGAATAAGCTGAACCTATTCTATGAACTTGTATATTGTTAAACACATTTGTGTGATTGTTAATGGCATACAAAATTTTAATACTTAGAACAATTTTATAATTGCTTTTTCTCAATAACATCTTGTTTTCTTACAGGACCTATACAAATCAGCCTTCTTTTATTTTGAAGGAACATTTTACAATGATAAAAGATACCCTGAATGCAGAGATTTGAGCAGGTACCGTTTCCAAAAGTCTTCTCAAATGCTTTCTCATTTCTAGTTCTCAAAATGGTTTTATCTCCACAAATCCTTTTCTTTTTTTTAAGATTTTATTTATTTTCAGAGAGAGGAGAAGGGAGGGAGAAAGAGAGGGAGAGAAACATTAATGTGTGAGAAAAACATCAGTTGGCTGCCTCTTGCTCACCCCTAACTGGGAACCTTGGCCTGCAACCCAGACATGTGCCCTGACAGGGAATCCTACCGGTGACCTTTCACTTCGCAGGCTGGTGCTCAATCCATTGAGCCACACCAGCTAGGACTCCACAAATCCTCTTATTGGCATGTTCTGTTAAGGATCTTTGCCCAGGAATTATTTTGTTGGGTGGTTTTTGTTTGATTTGGGGTAAAAAAATTCTCTCTCAGTTTTTAAAATATTTTCAAAGTTGGTCTAGGTATTAGTAAGTTAATCAAAGTTTTTATTCCAAGAAAATTTTGCTACCAAAAATATACATCAGCCATTTCAGGATCTTTGCCAGCTGTCCAGAATTGTTTTTTTAAGTATTTTAGATTTATAGTAAATCGTGTTTGAACCTTAGATACACCTTAAAAAGAAACTTAATTCCACTTAACCACTTCATTAATGTCTGTTCTTTGTATTAGATGACAGCAGTAAGTTAATCTTCCACTATTTTTCTGCTTGTTTAGTGTACACAGTTGTTTGCCCTAGGTGATATATATGGTTTCTTAAGTACATAGCATGAAAAATCTGTATTTAATCATCATGACAATTAGACCATACTTTTATTATCAGTGTCCTAGCAGACTGTGTGTGTGTGTGTGTGTGTGTGGATAAATTGTTTCATTACAGGAATTTTCATTTATATTCTAATATAGCAGTTCTCAATCTTGCTAGGCTCAGCACTTCTTTATACGGGAAATAATTGAGGACTCCAAAGAGCTTTTGTTTACGTGCGTTATAGCTATCAATATGTACCATATTGACAGTTCAGACTCAGAAATATTTTAAATATTGACTAATTTAAATAATTCTGTTAAACATTAACAATAACATTTTTGTGAGAAACATTTTAAGAACAGTATAAAATAGCAAGAAAAGTGGCTTTGTTACACATTTTTCATTCAGTAATATCCTGTGTGATATAACCTCCAGAAAAATGGTCATTTATGAGGGAATAAGAGTTGAAAGGGCATCAGTAACATTTTAAGATTATTGTAAAGACAATTTTGACCTCACAAACGTCTGTGGAGGGTCTGAGGAACCACACTTTGAGAACTGCTGCTCTAGCAGATGAAGAAAAATTCAGAATTCCTGATTCCAACATGTATGAACCACTGCGGTTTTCATCTCCGGATGGGAACTGTCCGCTTAATTGGGTGAGCCAGGTTTTATGAAATACTGCAGTCACAAACCGTTTCCTGTCATTTTTAGTTTTTTGTGGTGCAGTGACACATCCTTGCTTTTTCCCCCTCAGAACAATCATTGAGTGGTCAGAGTCCCATGACAGAGGCTATGGGAAGTTTCAGACTGCTACAATGGAAGACTTCACCTTCAATGACTTACACATTAAACTGGGTTTTCCTTATTTATACTGCCACCAGGGAGACTGTGAACATGTGATTGTTATTACTGACATAAGGTAAGTGGCAGTACTCAGAACACTTTGTTTTCTTTATTTCATAGAAAAGCACAGGTTTTTGTTTCATTTTTAATGCAAGGAGTAAAAGTAATTGTCAGTGCAGCTTGGTTTGGAAACAGCAAAAATAATTGCTTTCCACTCAACTTTGCATCCTCTATTGTTTGTATTCTGGAAAATATATAAGAAATACTTTATTTATTAGAGGGTTAAAAATCTATACTTTAAAAAGTATCACCATTTGTAAGTTAGATAGCTGCTATTTAGGTAATAGTCATCCACTTTGTATACCATATAGGTACTTTGTAAATCTGCAGTTTTATTAGTTCTCAGTATTTGGCCTTTTGCCAAAATTTGGAGGCGCTAAAAAGGAACTGGGATAGAGAAGAATAATTCTGATAGGTGACAAATATGAAGTCTTAATGCTTTCATAAAGATTTAAACTGGGAAGGACTGTAGTGTAAAAGGAAGTTTTAAAATATTTTTATAATTTTTATAGTTATAATTTTATATAGCTGCTATCTTCTCTTTTCATGAATAAGGCTTTTCATTTCGTTATTTAGGAAATACCAATTTATGAAGGATAATACATAGGAATAAGCCCTGCTCTTGTCTCCAGTTGGATTCCTTCTGAGAAACTATTTTGTTTTTTTGTGGAGCAATGATATATACCCATGTATTTATTATACCAATAATAGAAACTGATGCTTCAGAAAGTCCTTGCTTCCATTTCTTTGGGATCTCAGTTAACAGCTTCAAAAACTTTACCTCCCATGCACTGATTCTCAGGAAGCTACCAGAGATAGTACTTCACACAATGATTAAACCTTCAAAAAGAAAAACTGTGAAATTCAACAGAATAGCTAAGATATAAAAGGAATCCTCAGAATAATGGGAAAGGGAAATCCCAGAATGATGGCTGTCTAGCAGCAGGAGAGCAGCTTAATCCAGAGACTGGAGCAGGATGGAGCACTTGGGAAGGGTGTCCAGAGCTACTAGACCTCCTGCCGATGCATACCGTATGGAGAGTATTTTTACCGTTCTGTCAGAAAATAGGGAACTGAATTAGTGACAGGAACACTGAAAGCTCAGCAGATGCAAACATGAGAGAATTAGTACCTAGAAAAGAAAATATTACACAGTAAAAAGAATCTACAGTATTTTTTGTAGCTTAGGTGGTGGTAGTATTAATTTGTCATAATTTAAACATTGTCTATTTAACCAAGGTTATAGTAGTTCTGAGAGATGTTGAGGAGCTAAATTAAAAATAAACAGTTAAGAATATAGCAGTTGCCCCTTGCGAAGAATTTTTGAAGCAAAAGCCAGAACCCATAAACCTCATAGGTTTACGTAACTTTCAAAATTATATATGCTTATTTCTTGAATAATGTGTTTTCAATTTTATATAAGCTATTCTGCCTGCTCTTACTTTCCTTATACTTCTTATGGTGTAGGCATATTGCTACACACAATGTCATTCCTTAAATTCATAGCACTTAGAACATAATTTAGACCAGAAGTCATTTTTATCTTACAGATCATCATTCAGTGCCATTCCATAGTTTATGAATTAGTAAACTGTTAAAAGTTCATTAGTCCATTTCTTTTTTTAAAAAAGATTTTATTTATTTATTTTTGGAGGGGAAGGGAGGGAGAAAGAGGGGAAGATAAGCATCAGTGTATAGTTGCCTCTCATGCGCCCCCTACTGAGGATCTGGCCTGCAACCCAGACATGTGCCCTGATTGGGAATTGAACTGGCGACCCTTTGGTTCACAGGCCAGCGTGCAATCCACTGAGCCACACCAGCCAGAGCTCATTAGTCAATTTCTGATGGTGATATTGCTACCCTTTCTTGCTGGGGGGAAAAAAAAATAATAGTAAGAATTAAATTTTAGAATTGTCAGAGACCAGGGATCTGTACACTATCCTGAGCAGTCCCTTAATTTTTCAGGTGAAGAGTCTGAAGTCCAGCACAGTTAAGGGATTTATCCAAACCCACTCAGCTGATAAGTAACATAGTGGAGATTAATTTCCAATCACAATTTTTTAATTCCGATACCTGAAACTGAAGTCCTACCAATTTATATTATACCAGGAGTCAGATCTGGATTTTAACAAAGGGAACAGTAATCAAGAGCTATATTGTAACACATAACCAGTAAATCGCAGTAGAATAGCTAGATAAAAAAAAATTAGGATCAACTAGTTGCTCAGACTATGTTCTATAAAAAGGTACTGTTTAGTAACGCAATGATTCTCCGATGGAATACATTCAAGAAATGCTGCTTACAGCATCTCCCTCTCAGAAGGTTACAGTGCACACTACCGTGAGGGGATTTGGGAAGTTTCATAGAAAGCATTGTTTGATCCAAATGCTCCTTGGGAGAATATGTTTTGTGGAACACAATTTGGTCAGAGTTGGTGCATGCATCAGTTCATATGTAAAACTTTTGTGAGCAAGAAACTGAAAAAATGTATCTACATATACTATTAATGTTGAGGTGCAGATATACTGGATTCTTATAAAAATCTGCATTTTAATATCTTCATTTACTTTCTCATGAACAAAAGGCTTGTGCATCGTGATGACTGCTTGGATAGGACACTTTATCCCCTTCTTATCAAGAAGCATTGGCTATGGACCAGAAAATGTTTTGTTTGTAAAATGTACACAGCCAGGTAAGTGGTGGGTGGGTGGGTGGGTGTGTGTGTATTTTTTTTTTTTTTTTTTTTTTTTTTTTTAGAAGTATGGTTTCCAGTCGAGGATTTTTGATTTTTGGTATTTCAGTTTTCTGTTCTGTATCTGAGGACTTATACTTTGGGGTATAAAGAATAGAAAGGATTTTTTTATTTATTAGGGAAGTGCTGCAGATCAGTTTAGGTTAAAACTGCATTTTTAAACAAGGAAATGAATCATCATATGTAGTAGAAGTCCAGGGAAAGGTCAGACTTAATTGGTTGGTAAAATGCTCAGTGTCATCAGGGAACCATATTCTTTCTGCCTCCTCTCTGCAGTTTACAAAATCAGTTTCATCTAGTTTCTCCTCAACAAAAAACAGCATCTCATAAAGGTCAAAATACGGTTTTGTAAAATTTCTTTTATGTGCTTGTGCATGTTTTGAGTGTTTAACTGTGTGGCTCAGTCAATAAACCATTCAGAGAAAAGGAGAAAATTTAGTATCATCAACTTGTTTTGGATCCCATACCACAATGTGCTTTTCCAAATGATAAATAGGAAAACAAACCAGTTACTAGATCAAAATGGAAATCAGGGAACTATAACATTCCATGAGATGCAGAATTCAGATAAACTGAAAAATACCATTTTTAACTGTGACTGATAACACCTCTGGTCAAAAAACAAAATTTCTGTTGAATGTTGCCCCTATTTCCCATTTGTATATACTCTATATGAACATTTTATCCTGAATTCTAAGTAAAACAGCTGGAGTTTTCAAATTAACACTAATTTGCCAGTTAGAAAGATAAATTAAGCAAAAGTTTATCAGATCTATAGCATCTAATTTATTGTTTTTCAAGATGGCCTATTAGAAGAAAATGATTATGTTCATATGACAGTTCGTTGGATAGGTATTTCATGGTAAGTGTATGATCTTTCAATTATGGATTTGTATTCTTTTCTATGTACCCTAAGTAATTTTTCAGAGAAACAGCACTCTGCAGTGTATCTGTTAGTTGCCCTTTTGCCTTGTAAGTATATTGACAGGGATATGTTTGTATCTATATATGTACAGAAAATCCTATGAAGGATTATGAGTAGGATAGGATGAGAAGGCAATAGTGGGAATGTTACATTTATATCATTACAGGTTATAATTTACATGATGAGAAAATTAATTGTAATGATGTTTTTTGTTGTTTTTTTTTTAACTACAGATGGGTGACGAACAATGACAGTTTTGCACCAGATGACCCATGTTTCTTTTGTGATGTTTGCTTCCGAATGCTCCACTATGATTCAGAAGGCAACAAACTGGGGGAATTCCTCGCTTATCCTTATGTTGATCCTGGAACCTTTAATTAATAACAAAAGGTGTATTCTCATAGGAACAGGATCAGCCTGAAACAATCAGCTGAAGTTATCCCCATTCCCCCCCCCAAAGTTCAAATTACAGATTTTCTTATGAAGTAACTTGACTGTATTTAAATGCTTAGAAATATTTACTATTTATTACAAAGTATGGTTCTTATTCAGTGCTTTTTGCCCATTTTCAAATCTGTTTATCTTACTGAGTTGTAGGGTGTCTTTATATATTCTGCATACAAATCTTGTCAGAGATATGTATTGATACTTTCCCAGTCTTTGGCTTGCCTAGTCATTGGATTCAATTAATGATACATCAAATGGTGGAAGTATTTTGAAAATTCTTTGAAAATGAGACTCACTACATAAGTAATAAATGTAAGATTTTGAGTACATACTCAAAACTTTACAGAGGTAGCACTTAAATTGAAGCTTCATTTCTTGACAACTTTTTGTGAATCACAAATGCTGAGTTTAAAAATGTACATCTATTTAATATTTTTATTAAAAAATAGTTTCATGTAATATTACTGGGATATGGGAAATCATTATGGGAAAACCATTAGATCCTGTAGGTTACAAGTGAGCTCTGGCTCACTTATTATTGGGCAACAATACCCAGTATTCTGTATGCAAAAAAGAAAACACCAGTGTTTTCCTGGCTCAACTCTTCATTCTCTTGGCCCCCTTACTATGATAGTTGTTTGTTCTCTTTTCTCATTCTGCTCCCAAGAGCAAGTGTGATAACGTTTAGGTCATCAGGGAAAATTGTAGCTATCTATTCTGAAATGTTTTCTGGAAACTTTTTTTATTTTGATGGAAAATTAAATTGTCATTTAAAATTTCACTTTCTTCTAGGTTACATTTATAAATTCAGCTGAATTCTACACTCCTGGATGGGTAAGAACAGACATTTACCATATAAATCAAAAACTGATGAAGATTATAAGCCTGTGTGTTTAAAATATTGACATTAAATGTTTTATGGACTTACATGCAATATGTTCAATTAAGAACCTCTTTCTAGTATATCTAGCAGTGCTCTTATGACTGATCAGTACACCAGAGAATCAATATAAATTGTCCGAATATGGTTGGTTTATGTTACTGCCTAAATTTTTACTTTAATATTTCCAATGATGCTGATTTAAAATATTGCTGGAAACCAGATTTACACAATTCCTCCAAGTTCCAGAGGTAAAAATGAATTTATTTTTAAACTGCATTCCTTGTATCTTTTATACAGGGGTCTTTTTTTACTTTTTTTCTTTATCATTTCATATTCTGAAAACAAATTCTAGAAAGTGAATTGTAACAGAAGCATTAATCCATGTGTGGTGCCAATTAGCTTATTTTTAGTGGATAAAGATGGTCAGTTAATACTTACTACTGAAGTTTTATCATTTATTTAGAATATCATCATGCTGGTTCTTAAGGTTAACCTTTTCACCAAGGTTACAAGGCTCAGATACCTATTATCATTTCCTGGTAAAATCTAAAAGTCTAAACTAAGCAGGTCATTCTCAGAATTTGTCAATGTATTGTATATCTGATACTCAGGTCTCCCACCAAAAGAAACTCCCAACTTTCAAAGAGGCATAACAAATACCTTGTATCGGGAAATTTCAATATTAGACATGACATGACTGACGCTGCCTATTTAATGAAGAAAAGCAAATATGAAAATGTCATGAACTTGATCAGTCAACATCCTCTGTATTTAGAAATGAATCAGATTTTGATATATACAATCTTGCATAAAATCACAGTCTAAAAATGCTATGCCCATTTCCTTAAAACATCTTTTTCAGGCTTCATTACCCATTAAGGTTAAGTTGACCTTTTTCCCAATCACATTACAGTGTCTTTATCAATCTCTAAGGTTGGAGAATTATGCAGCACAAATTTGAATACATTTCTGCCTCTTTAGCAAGTTCTGTTTTTAAGGTGTGATTATGGGCCAGTGTAACAAAATAAGTTGTTAGTGAAGCCTTCAGAGCCCTGTAAAAGCCACTGATTGCTCTTGTATAGGCCACCTCATCTTGACCCGGCATCTTCAGCCAGGTAAGTGTGTGGGTAATACTATGATCAATTTGTTAAACTACTATTTGAAACCACACAACATGATAGCAATTATAAGGCTTAAGGTACTCCATTCGAGCTGTTTACACACAGAAAATGATTTAGGTTCTGATTCAGATGGTACTTCTGAAATTTCTCCAAAGCAGCTGAGAAAACCAACAATTTAGTCTGCTGAGTCATCCATAACTTACTCTTTTAAAACATTATCCAGTGTTTTGTAAAGCAGCAATGAAATAGGTGTTTATACAAAAAAAAAAATGTGGGGTTGGAGGTTGGAGGCAGTGGCCTTAGCTGTCTCATTTAAATTATCTCTTAAATGACCTGTCCAGTTACGGAGTTTTGACCAAATACACAATTTAAATTCAACCAATGCTTCTGAACATTCTTGATAATTATTTATGTGACTTAAGAGTTCTGGGGTTTTGTGAATTGTTGACAAAGAAAAATGTCTTGAAATGAGAGTTGAGAGAGAAGGCTACTATGTTTTACCCATGAACTGTTACGCCACATAATCAGAACATTTTGTGATTCTTGGTAAGCTGTGTAGATCTGTTGGGTCACAGAAGAAAATGGAGGATGAACCAAAAATAACATTTCCTTTATTTATGTCATTTTGACCTTATTAGTTCCCCAGTCTCTTCAAACAACAGTCTCTATGGTCAAGTTAACTATGAAATTACTCCCTTGGAAGCCAATCCAGAATTCCAACACCTTTTTGTAAATAGCAAAGAATTTACTAGTGCAGCTTGATTAAAAAAATTCTTTAATCAAAACAAGTTTACATGTTGACACTTATGGCTTAACAAGAATAATGTGTCTAAATTTTAATTGTCCTAAGGACCAAACAGATATAATAGTAAGAGCTCCCTCAAAACACTGAGTCCTAGGTTCCATTGTAAGACCTCTCAAAATTAAAATTCCAATTATTGAAATAATTCAACTTTCCATCTGTTGATGAAAACAAAATTATCTGAGGTCAAAAGATATGCCACATGCAAACACTTAAGTATTAAAAGCCTTTTTCCCCATATTCATAGTTTCAAAACATAAGAGCCTTAGCTACTAAAAACCACCAACTGACCTAATATTTGACCTTAGAAATACTACCTGTTGCAGTTAGCCTTAAATCTTTTGTGTTAACCTTGGGTTGCCCAGATTTTAGTCCATATATGTGAATATACAGACTATTCAAACCGCTCCTTTGTCTACTGCCTCAGAGCAACTAATATTTCCACTTGTAATCCTGTCACGTGTACAATGCAGAAATAATTCCCTTCTGAAATAGCCATGTTTTCAAATAGGCTAGTTTCCTTATATAGTATTTACTCTTATTTACTTCATAAGCATCATGGATTGCTTTCCAATTAAAAAAATAATACTTGCTGACTTTCTTAATGTGACTTTTTAAAAAAATTCAGAAATGTCTCAAAAATAAACTTACCATTTAGTTTTCAGTTTCAGCTACTAGCGCCTATAAAGGATCTTAGATGGCTAAACCCCTAGAGCCAGATTCATTCCTATATACACCAATTCTGCTTGCTGCAAGAAAATCACGTGACCCCTGAATTCCCAGCCACAGAACTAAATTACTTTCCAAAGTTAACGAGTTTATACCTTGTAGAATTGTCAGTTCAATGTCAGTTGGGTATCTAGTTGTCATACAAAAAGGCATACAGACCACACGTTACAAAGCAGCGGGATAATGTAGCACAATGTAGGCTGAGATTAATTTTAGATAGAAGGGAGTAATTATATAGAAGAAACATTTTACCTACCATAAAAATGTATAACTTCTACAAAAACCACAAACAGTGAAAAGACAGTCTGGTAAATCCAAGGTTTGTAAAAACTGCACAAAACCCACAATATTTGGGAAAAGAGTAAAGGTTTTATACAAGTAGCAGTTTTAAAAATTTAACTACTATCAATTACACATTAACATACACACACTAACTGAAAATATGCTACAGCCAATGTCTGGAAAGCAGTTCAACATTTCCTAACTGGATCTTCCCTCACATTTTTGTATAATGTAGTTGTTAATACTGCACAAGTACACTTAACCAATGTTTAATTACTTTTAAACAAAGATAAAGGGATTTTTCTCCCTCAAAACAAGTTTTAAACATCAAAACCTATTCTTATAAAAATTTAAAACTTTCAGCAGTCTAAATATTTCAAATGAAAACCATTACAAACTTCTCAAATGTTCTTTATATTCCAGGTATGTCAACTTAGTTATCTAGCGTAGAATCCTTCAGAGATATTTCGGTCTCTCTCTCTTCACTGGATGGCCTAAAGAAAAGTGGAGGAAAAAAGATGTGACAAATGGGGTTAGGGGATATTTTTCCTCAGGAGGAAAAATAAAGTATTAAATGTGTGCCTTATGTTTTTTAAATTACTAAATATTTAGAGTTGTTATTTTTGGTCGAAACTTTTATTTTACCACATTCTATCATCTTCCCAAAAATATGCAGATAGAACACAGTAACTCAGGGCTAAGTATCATGGCCAGCTTTAAAATGAATTCTCTTTAAAAAATTTTATTTTTACATAGCCCAGGCATGTGCCCTGACTGGGAATTGAGCTGGCAACCTTTCTGTTCACAGGCTGGCACTCAAATCATGGCATGTAACCAGCCAGGGCTACAATGAATGCTCTTTGAAAAATATGAAAATGTTTTGCCTGTGATACTAGCATACTACAAATCTAAATGGAAAAAGGGGTGATAACACACACATACAGGATTTCTCTGAATTTCAGAAGTAGAAGGGATGCTTAATTCCAAGGCTTAATATATAGCAGAACAAACCAAGACCTGGCTAACCATGGTTCCATGTCTAGAATGGGTATCATAAAATAGCCTGAGTTCTAATTTTTTATTATCCTGTCACAATTCATGAAAGTATGAACATGAGTTAGTACAAGTGTTTTAAGTGAAATCCGTGCAAGGAAGAATGGTTAATTTTTAAAAACTGGATTCATGCCAGCTCCCTAACATTGAATACAGGCAAATTACTTGTAAAATAAGTTTGTTTTTGCCTCCTTGATTTGCACCTTGTTTCCTGAATTCAGGAACTGAGTGATCAAAATATAATCCCTTATTTAGATAACCTTGGAATAACAATGTAATTTAAAAATTAAAACACACACACATTACGACCCACTGAAAGATGTCCTCACTTTTTCTTACTGCTGGCCTCATCTTTACTATCTTCATTGCTGTCTCCATTGTGTTGGGGTTGATTACTGTCTTGATCAGATCCTCCATTTAGAGTCTTTGAACCTTTACAAGAATTCCAATGAAAAAACTGTTAGAGTTTATAATACTTGAAGATGTCCTCTAAAGTTGAAAATATAAAACATGGTCCTGAAATTTTTAATACTTAATGTATTTTATTTGTAATCTTAGGGTAACTATGCACACAGTATAAGTAGCAGCATTGCTACATATGTTTGTAGGTATAGGAAGTAGATCATTAATCTGATTATTCCATTTATTACTGTTACCAGGAACAGGGTGGTACAGTAACTCTTTGTAGCATTATGATTCATTCTTATTTCTCAGGAAAAACTGAATCACTGAAATCTCATGTATATCATAATTGGTATTTTATAACAAAAAATGTAAAAAAAAAGTAATTAACATGATTTTGTGCCCTATTAAACAAACAATGAAGGCTTCCACATAAATCTTATTTTTGTATAATGTAGTTGTTAATCTTATGTAAATCTTATCTCCTAACCCCATTTTGCTTACAAATCTCTAAGGACACCTATATAACATTCCCTAATAAATGAGTAAAAAAAAAAAATCCCAACTCCTTTTTAATGGTATGTACATTAAGCAGCTGCTACTAAGATGTTTAGTGACATAGAATTAGGGAACAGATAATGGTACCCATAACATTTTAAGATGTATCCATCACAGATACATCTTAAAATATTTGTAGTTCAAATCACACATTTCTGGAATTGGCTTCAAAGTAATCCTCAGGAGTGTCATAGAAGAACTTGATATGGTTAAGACAGCAGTGGTCACTTATTGATAACTGGTGATGTCAGGTGATGGACATCAGAAGTTCGTTTCTAATTTTGTGTAGGTAAGAATTTTTCCTAATTTAAATGAAAAGAGAGTAAGTACTATCTAGTAATGCTGACTTTTTAATAACACGA